CTTACTATGATCCTCCTCCGACGGACGACAGACAGCTGCGCATTTCGTCCCGAACCTTGTAAAATTTATGGCAGTAATTTTAGAAATGTTTTAAAAGGCTCTGGGACACAGGCTGTTCACGTGTTTCTTTTTTCTGCTCTCGGTTTTTCTAAAAGTTTAGTAAATATCATTTGTCATTTACATATCCCCGGAAATATACTAAGAAATTATTGTCCAGGAAGGTGTTTTTTTATTGCTGCGATTGTTGAGAAGGGTTTGAATGAGTTGATAAGGCCTGGAAATAAGTGTACAATAAATTGTGCCTAGCACCATTTCATCTCAATCAAACAGCTCTTCTGTGCATCTGAAGTCGTATTCATGTTCCTGGTTTTTTGCGAGGGGCATCGGTTTGCTCCAAATTCTCAAGGCAGACTGTTAGGGATGCTCTCATTATCTCACAGTTACAACGACGAAAACAACTTTAAGTTAGAGCATATTCTAAAATTGAATGTCCACTGCGCCAGGAAAATCAAAAAAAGGCTACGGTAAGGGTGGTTTATAGTTATTACCAAAGTATGCTGAAACCCCAAATTTCTATCCTACTGGATCAACGGTCAACTGAAAGCTTTAAGTTTTGCATGTAGGAATAAATTATTCATTGCACCACATGCCTGAACAGGTACCAGACGGTAAAACTAATGAGAATCTTCTTCATTTATACTATAGTTCCATTGCACCTAGGTATCGATGTGTTAAGTAGGTTAGTAGTGCCATTTAACTTGCTTGTCAATAGTTGTAATGACTGGTTCCTAGTAGACCAGACGGTTGTTTCTATTTCTTATCAAGAAAACTCAATATGACTATCGTTCGCGTTTTACAGATTTCTGGAATAAATTATAATGTGATGATACTTATAACCTACCCTTACCGAATCGAGACTTAGAGCGAAGACTAAGTGAAAAAAAGGTATCAGCGAAGTTGAATTGGTATGGTTTACTTATATGACTTCCCGATGGAGGACATGGAAGCAGAACCACCTGCGATACAGACGGCATTGTGCTAAATCTCAGGGCAGTTAGGGCTAGGGTTACGAATAGGTGCAGGGTTAAAATTAGACCTACGGGTGGGATTCGGGTTAGTGTTTGGGCATGGGAATATTTACAGTATTGCGAGTGCTGCAAGAAACTGATATGAAGAAATTTAACTTTGTAGTTTACCTTATATTTTGCCAGGTTATCTTGATCAAATGAGTGAATTAAATAATTAGTAAAGCTTTAGATTGGAAAACTGCCCTCTTAGTTAAGATTATGGAGTGAAATAGGCAGTAATCTCGGCCAAATCACGAGTTAGTTTAAAATCAAGAAATTTCCTATGCATAAAAGGTACGACAGAACCAAGTTTTTTATTAATCTGAATTGAGCTATGGAAGAATTCCGGGATAAGTAGAAAAAAGTGGACAACGTATCCCTTCCAGAACTGGAAAATGTATTCCGAAGTTGCTCAAATGGAAGAGAAGCTAATGTTAAAGAATCGGATTTATTTTCAGAAACAAGCAACAATTTAAGCTTC